TATTAATTATCTCAACAAGATTTGATATTTGATACTTTTATATTTTCAAGTCGAAGGAAAATGAAGCAGAATTCTCAGAATTTTAATCGCTTTCTTGATTTATCTCAATATAAATTGAATGTATCTTTAATATGAAAATACAATAGAAAATAGATACGTATAAACAAAAATATATTTTCACAAAAGTGATGGTTACTATGAGAGGGAAAAAGATTAGGAGAGTAACAGGGTTCACTTTCTGGGCAATTTTCTGGAAAAGCGACCGACGGGGAATTGTTTAGTTTAATCAACTGTGTCTCAATTAACTGCTGACTAATATAATAATCGAGCGTGGCTCGCGAGAAAATTAGCGCGCGATGCAGGATGTAATCATCATTGACATTGACCGACGGTAGAGCCGTAACTTGGCGATGATATAGACTTCAAAGAGTCTTAAGCAAACAAGCATGACAAACGCACTGTTTTGTATCGTATAATCACGTTGTTGTTGCACGTGCGATTTTCATCATTGCATACTAAGTGGTAGGGATTTAAGTCGTAATTCAATTGAATTGATACACGCAACTCCTTCTTAGAGATTGATATTTTCTTCGTACGTCTCGAGAAAATTTGCAAATTGCAAAATTTGCAAAATTTGTCTCGATTCAATCTGAGTTTCACATTGTTTTGGAATTTAACGTTAGGTCGAAAACCTGACAAGGTTTTATATATGAAAGATTGAAATCTGCTATTTCTATTTATTTATTTAATAAAAAAAATAATACAGAATTATTCTGAGTAATTTGTAATTATTGCACGCGAAATATAATTTTTACCTACATTACCAAAGATTTTTCTGTTCAAAAATTATAAATCCAAAATAATATCCTAAATTTAACACAATAAAATAATGATGATCGTCAAGAATGCAATTATTATTCAATAAATCAATTATACAAACATATTCTATATATAAATAATAACAGTTTATCATTACGTGGAATATATAATTTTTTTTAGTTACATTTAAAGATTAGCGACCCAAAACGATATCCTGAATTTTACGCGATAAAATAATGATCGTGGTGAATCGTTCGATATGCAAAAAGGGACAAACGAGAGAAATCTCGCGGATTTCAACTAACGAATTTTTATTATTTTTACGCAGAAGCCAGCATTTTTTTCTCTTTTATCAGCGCAAAGAGTCTCAATCGAGGGGGAGAGAGATATCCTATGCGTTTTTTCGATTGATAACACACGGCCGTCTTCATCGATAAAAGGCGCATCGCGTATGCCCGATGGCCTTTTTGCACCCTCATTAAGGCGGAGAAAGGCATGCTTGTGGGCGCGCGAAGCGTCTTTTCTTGGCGAGGTGCATAAAAAAACTCTTTCCTCTGCGTCCACCGTACGTTCCTCGCGTGCACAAAGATCGATTCAGGTTACGCGAGCTTTTGCGCGCCCAACATTTTTTTTTACGCATTTTTATTACGCAGCCAGAAAGTAACAAATACTTACCCCTTCCCTTATCCCCGACGGAATTAAGAGCGAATTCCTTGAAGTATCGATACCCAGAACGCGGCGCCTCTTCTACGATTAATTTTAATTATATCTTTCGACGAAAAGCTGAAAAAAATTTCCAAGGAAGCTATCGATCGAAAAACTTGTAAATATTACACTAAGTGTATTAATGAAAGAGAGAAGATTCAGAAATTTGATATTGAAGTGCTTAACGACGAAGAGCGACGATCGGTTCAATTCATAATTTATAAAGTTCATTTTAGGTTTTACGATTTTCGAACTCTATTGGTTTTCATTCTACTTGTGTTTTCTCAGTAAATCTCCATCTCTAAAACAAGAAACTCGCTCAATTTTTAATGAATAATCGAACATTTTTATAGAGCAAAGCTCTATTATAGCACTTTTTTTTTACAATTCTACATGAATAAAGTCTAAAATTCATTCAAGTACATTCGTGTAAATATCGAATCGAAGGCCTTGTTTGTTAATCTTAATAATCCAAAAAAAAAAAGAAACAGTTTCGCGGACTTTACTCAATTCTTTATCTATCAGTTGAGTATTATTCTTTTATATCCATTCACGCGCGTATCATGTATATCGTTCAAAACACGTTGATATAGATTACTCCATATTGCCTAATAGATATCCTACGTGTTATCTTTAGGAGTTATCAAAGCGATATCTTTCGGTGTCCTATATTTCTCGCGACTCGTAAATACAGAAACGATATGCTCTTTCAAAAAAATTTCCATTTAAAGAAAGAGCTATGATGAGGACATCACAGGAATGGCATTCTCAACGCGATGCACATCCGGTGCTCCGCCGTTACGGATATCCGTTAAGGTTAAGAAAACCGCCGCACGTCGCGCCGCGGCCGCGTTCATTCATGATTTCGCGAGGAAAACGACGGTGGCGACGCGACGCGCGCCACCTACACGCTCGCCACCGCCACCGTCACAACCACCGCCACAGCCATCCCCCGTCCTTCTCCCCTACTTACATCTGGCCGGCGTAACCGCCCCACCGTTTCCCAGAAGCGGACAATCTTTGCGCGAGGTGCCAAAGTGCGAATGTGTTGAGCCAATAAAAATCGATATTGCCAGAATTTATTTTTCAACGCACAATTAACATTTTTATATATTATTTTATATATTATATTTAAATAATATACTGTACACATAAAGATACTAATTTTTTGTGTTGAAAAAGAAACCCTCGTGATTTACACACACACACACACACACACACACACACACACACACACACACACACACACACATTTGCTTTGTTTCTGTCACTAACGTTACTTTTCAATAGGCTTTCAATAGGCAATGTAATTAGTCAAAACAATATATAATTCTATTTAGAAAAATGGATACTCTCTTTTTGATTACTTTTTAAGTTCAGTGGTATCCTGTCTGTCATTTAAAAGGCCGTAAAAAAAATTGCTAAAAAAGAATTTTTTTGAATTTTCTCCTACCTTTAATAATTTTAGAGAAAATACTTATAACTCTTTATACAATTCATCCTATATGAATCGTACAAAGAGTTATAAGTTCTATATGCTCATACATCATATATGAAAAAATTATATTTATATAATATTTCTATATATATTTTATATGAAATTATGCATGTAAATACGTAAGGAAAGAACAGATTTGTTGAAGTATTAAAAAATTTGGCCAGATAAAGATCTGAAAATAATTTTATTGAACTATTAAAATATTTATGTAAGAGATTTAAATCGGTTGTTGGAATATAAAAAAAATTTTGCAGTATTATTATTATTATTATTATGTTTAAGCATTCTATATAATAATTTTGAAATCAAAATTATTTTCAAATCTATATCTAATCAAGTTTTTAGATGCTTTGGCAAAATTATTCTATCTCATTAATTGATAATTTTAGAATAACATTCTGATTCTGCCGTGTAAAGTTAAATATAAGTTAAATAATTTATAATAATTTAATAATTCATTAGTTATTGAATCTATTCGCGCTATAAAAATCTGCATTTCGTCTTAACCGGAAATTCCGATCGATATATTTGGTCCAAAAGCTCCGTATGATCTCATCTCCTCTAAGAAAAAGTATCATTTATTTATTTGCTCTGACAGCGAGCTAATCGTGACTGGAACTTTGTCGCAGGAACTGGCGAGTCGGGCAAGTCTACCTTCATTAAGCAGATGAGAATCATCCATGGCTCCGGTTACTCGGATGAGGATAAGAAAGGATTTATCAAACTCGTGTACCAAAATATTTTCATGGCGATGCAGTCCATGATCCGGGCGATGGACCTCCTGAAGATTCAGTATGGCGATTCCTCGAATATAGTGCGTATTGCTTACAGTTACTTCACCAATTGCTTGTACACAGTGTGTGTCTACGAGAGAAAACTTACGAACCTTACAACAGCAATGAATAGCGGAATAGCAAAATTAATTTTTCGATATATTTTAATTGAACGATTAATTAAACAGCAGTGTCTCAGAAATATTATATTTCACTTAAATTTTTTTTCTCTTGTGCGTGTTTCGTTAATCTGTTTGAGAGATAAAATATATCAACGGCATCAATCTAATTGTAAAAAATAGTTATTTCATTAATTCAATAAGTTTTTAAATTATTTTATTGAAAAAAATTATGTTCAATTAAACCGATATTGTTGATACATATTATTTTTTTTCGTATACATGTTTATTTTGCAGTATTACGATGTGTATCGTCCTTTTCGGGTCTGATATTTTTAAATTCGTTATTACGAGACCGGGCTTCACTTCGAAGGGTTAATTAAATTATTAACCGTGCTTCGCGTCGAGTATCAGAAGGTTGACGATAATTTCGTATCGCACACTTGATATCGTACATTCCGATACGAGCGGAAACGCATAAGTCGTCGCGGTCCCATTTCGCCGTTTCCGGAGACTCACACGTTACCCTTCCTCTTCCTTTCCAGGAAAAGGCGGAATTGGTGCGGAGTGTGGATTTCGAAACGGTGACGACGTTCGAGAGTCCATATGTGGAGGCGATTAAGGATCTGTGGGCGGACGCGGGTGTACAGGAGTGCTACGATCGTAGACGGGAATACCAGCTCACGGACTCCGCCAAGTAGTAAGTATTTTGGCAACCGACTGCTCTGCGCCTCTTACTCAAGGGGTTGATGTGCATTATCTCGCCCACGTGTCTTATCGTCAGCCGAGAGATTATCCTATCTCCGCTCCTTTCCTAATGTCTATTGGTCCCGGTATTTCTCGCCGAAGAACTCAATGTAACAGGACAATTCCGGTTCACTACACTTGTCACTTCTCTCCTTAATCTGTTCTGAACTGTAAAGATAATTTTTTTCTTGAGAAAAACATCGAGATACTGACTTCTGTATTAACTTATGAACAATAAATCTTCCTGTCTCATCCTGTTTGTCTATAAAGTTCCTGGACAAGAAGAAGATGCTGAATTAGCAAGAAACATTTTTTTCAGGACTGTATGATACATACAGAAGAAGTGTTTGTATCTTCCATCACCTGAACATGCAAGCTAGCAAACATATCCAAATATCTCATTTCCGAGAGGACTTAGGTCAATTTTTAACAAAGTGCCTTTTGACACGTAGGAATATATTTCCATCCATTTCCTCTCAAAAGAAACAAGTGAACACAGTTGACTTAAGGTCTTTCAGTAAGCTCTTCATTTTCTTCAGGTCTCTTATCGAGATCTTTGGAAATCTTATTTAAATACGCGCCCATCTTGCCGTATTTCTTCTTCGGTTTACGTGTCAAAGTGATGCTTTTGGCATTCACGCGCGCACCAGACATGATTTAATTTTTTCATGATGATTCTGCCTCACTTTTCATCTTTCCTCCCGCCCTCTATCTTCTTCCTGTATACTGGTTATTGAGAACACGATGTTTCAGTTACCTAATGGAGATAGATCGAGTCGCGGCAAAAACCTACCTCCCTACAGAACAGGACATTCTTCGTGTGAGAGTGCCCACCACCGGTATAATTGAATATCCCTTTGACTTGGAAGAGATCCGATTTAGGTATGTGTACCTCTCACGATCGACAAGGATGATGAGAAGGAAGAAGCGAGCTGTCTGTCTGCGCCTGCAAAACCACCCTGCATCGGGCCGTTTTCTGCATCCTTTGTCTTTTATGATTTATTCGCTGCATCTGGAATTCGTTGTTCGATTAAATGTTCACCTATTTCCCGTTCCCATATGATGCTATTCAAGTTCTGTGACTTTCTTCTGTTACGTATAAGTGAAGCTAACTGGCCGTAGAATTTTCACAGTTATTAAAAACTGCATTTGTTACTTAGATTAATTAAATCGGCCCAATTTTGTAAATAAAAATATCAAACTTTTCTTGTTTTATAAAGTCCTGAAACTGATTAATAAACTATAATCTCTTACTTTGATATTTAATATCGATAAAAACTTACAAGTGATTATTATATAAGCATGATGTTTATTTTTCTTTTATTTGAGATCTAAACATGAACACTGAGTTGGCTTCACTTTTATAAAATTTTGCGTGATTTCGTATACTACTATTTGGTCGAAGACAAAATAAAATGTATCAAAGTAAGTCTCAGGACTCAGTACCGGCGTCAAAAAATTCTTTCAGGCTAAACCAATGGACAAGCATGTGTGAGAATTGTTTTATATGATGTTTTCTTATTTTATGATTATTTATATATGTTTTAAGTGTACCACGCATGGCATGCACTTCCGGATAGCAGCTTTTTGTTTCGTTTTGCAGTTATCTTAGTGACTTAGAGCGTATTGAAAAGCCTGATTTCCTCCCGACCGAGCAAGACATCCTCCGGGCACGAGCTCCCACCACCGGCATTATAGAATATCCATTTGATCTGGACTCCATCATATTTAGGTACTAATAGCCTTTCAATCCGATTATACGCATTCGAACATATACTCAAATTGTTTAGCATCATAAGATAATATCTCTATACATGAAGCAATATGAAATATATAAACTTCTTTTTTCGTTCCATTGAAGTATTAAAAAATATATATCCATTGTATCAGATATATTTTTATATATTCATAATTTTTTATTAATATGATATATATTGTTTTTTTTTACACGAATATCACAAAGCTTTCATTATTTCCAGATTATGAATAATTAAAATTTAGAATAATAAAAATTTAATAGAGATGTAAAAATCTATTTTAAACATTTAAATTTCTATATAATTTAATTTCTTATATATTTCTATATAAGATACTATAAAATTAGAACATACTATACAATTTAATTTCAAGTTGATTCTAAAAATTTAATTTGACTGGCAATAAAATTGTTAATTACAAAAGTATTTAAAATTAGTTGTTAAAAATTGAAACAAAATTTGATATACTTCTTTTCCGATTATTTTTGTATAAAAAAAGAAAAAATTATATATAGATGTTACATTATATGTGTATGTAGATTCATTTACAACTATTTTCAAGAAGCTTTGCATGTTTTGCATGTCTTTTTTCACGTGTTTTATATATATATATATATTTTTTAATATTGGGTTATTTAGCTCTAAAGATAGATATACGTGTGAATAAACAACAAACAAAATAAATTTAATCAAAACTTCCTTTGATGTACTGAGCCTTATAAGTGTATCGAATCCAACACTAACGAGCGTGCTATTTATATTATAACGCGAATTTATTATAACGCGAATAATTTAGCAAACTTAAACAACTTAGATTCACATTTGCTGTTTGTTTGCTATTTTTTTATTCATGCATGCAGCAAATTTCTATAATTAATATTATCCATAATTGTGAATAATGTAAATATATATTAAATGTGAATAATTAGATGTTTTGCACAATTTATAAAGTAAATTAGATTGAATTGGATCAAAAAAGAAAACGTATATATTTATTTAAGAAGATAAAATGATTAAAATTGTAAACTTCGTAAAAACGAAATAATATAACGAATAATATATGAAGTAATACGACATAATATACAATACTATTTTTTATAAAATGTTTAATGAATTTTTAAGCAAAAATTTTTCTAAATAGCAGATTTTTATCGCACATTAATAAAATTAAAAAAAATTTCTATCTATTTTACTTGCATACTATAAAAGATTCTGCAAATATATGGAAGACGAAAAATGCAGTACAGTAGGTAGAAGAATGATACATGATGGCATCTAATTCATTGAATTTATCAGAAATTAAAAATCATCTTTGCCTTATGATTCGATTCATCTTATATATATCTTAAAGCAGTCAAAAATATGTAGAGATTACATATTTTACATATTCAATAGATTATAATTTTTAATAGACGAGATTATACTGAATCTTCATATCTTAATATTCATTTCTGCTTTATGTTATTATTAAAAATATTTTTAAGTATTCTTTTAAAATATGATTTTTTTCCTTATATTTCTATTTATTCTATATTAATTCTTTTAAACAACGGATTTTAATTTTTAAAGATTTATTATTTAAACAGTATTACAAGAAAATATTTTATTAATCATTCGATGAAAAATATGAAAATTCAACTAGACTTTGTTTACTTAATATACTATTAATATATAACACTCTAACAGAACGTTATTTGCAGGATGGTAGACGTCGGTGGGCAGAGGTCGGAAAGAAGAAAGTGGATTCATTGTTTCGAAAACGTTACTTCAATTATATTTTTAGTAGCTCTAAGTGAATATGATCAAATTCTATTTGAATCGGAAAATGAGGTAATTATAATACTTTTAAGGATAAAATGCAATTAATGCATAAAAATTATCGATGAATTTGAATATTATTTTAATTCATCTGATTCCTTTCAGAATCGAATGGAGGAAAGTAAAGCACTCTTCAAAACGATTATAACATATCCCTGGTTTCAACACTCCTCTGTTATCCTGTTTCTCAATAAGAAAGATCTGTTAGAGGAAAAGATTATGTACTCTCATCTCGTCGATTATTTTCCGGAATATGATGGTAAGTTATGATATTAAACTTTTTTTACATACATCAAGATCTATGTAAGCGGATTATCGTTATCTGTTCGACATGAAATTATATTTCCGTTTTGTTTCTTAATCAATCAGGATTATATCTCATCTCATATTTCGAGTAAAAATAATTGACCGCAGGATGTTTATTTTAAAGGATAAAAATATATTTAAATATATTTAAAATAAAATATTTAAAAAATATATTTAAAACTTTCTTCTTTTTACATTGTTCTCGCAGAAGTTAAAACATTCTTCATTAAATTATTAATTTATCAAGACAGACTGAGGAAAGTGGGATGAAATTGTTTGGCTCGATATTAGTAAACAAATAAGTTCTGTGGTGTAGGCCCGAAGCAACAACACGTACCGGCCAGGGAGTTCATCTTAAAGGTGTATCTCAATTGTAATCCCGATCCCGATCGAATGTGCTACTCTCACTTTACGTGTGCGACAGGTCTGTTCGAGTACTGAGTGTGTTCCGAGCAAAAAAAAACGTAGATTTCCTAGTAGTTATTTGACGAACGATTTGACAATGGATACTATGTGCGATTCTCACGCTCTTCATTGTAACTTTGCCGCTCCAATGTCCCTGAATTCGTGATTATTCATTAGCAGTAATCTATTCGCAAGGTTGTTTATTTAAGTACATACACCAAACCTACATTCATACTCTTGCGCGTAATTTGCAATAATCAGTGGCACGTAATCTTGATACAAAATTAACTTATATGTAGATTGGAGCTAGTTAATCTAATAGCGATAGTCAGAACGCTCATTCCATCCTGCTTTATAATTTATAACTTCGCGAGATATTATATCGTTATTAGTCGAACATTTAACAAAAGTTATCAACATGCTGATACTCAGCATAAGTTAAGCTTGAAATTCGTTCACGATGAGGTATTTTCATATTTTATTACAAAATGTAAAGTCGTGCAAGCAACTGTTTCGAATTTGCAAAATCGTACTCAGCATTTTTACGTAAGCTTCTCTTAGCTTATTAATGAGGCTTTCGAAAGGCTTCTTTGATGTTCACTGCAACTAATTTAATAATCTGTCCTTGGAGAGCGTATATTGGATTTGAGTGGAGCACAACATTATTCTATTAAAATAGATCGATATCCGTCTGCATTTTGCGTTATGCTACACACGAACGAAACCAATGATGTAGTTGGTTCACGCGATGACATTTTCTAAATGCAGATTCAGTCCCATCCTAGTAAAACACTTAGAAATCTCGTAACACGGAAGAGTTTTCTTGGTCAGATTCCATCTCATCGTATTTACGTCCGGCGAAATCTCAACGACGCGTCGATTAATCGTCTCGTTAAACAACCGTTAAAAAAAATACTAATTTTACTATATGCTTTGTAGATAAATAAAAGTAATGCCATACCCCTCCCTCGCTTGTGTATTTCGCAGGTCGGCAGAGAGACGCTATACAAGCTAGAGAATTCATTCTGAGGATGTTTGTTGAGTTGAATCCGGACAGCGAGAAGATTATTTATTCCCACTTTACGTGTGCCACAGGTAGGCTAGTCACTTTGATAACTCCTGTGTACAAAAATATCGTACTTCTCTCTCGCTTTATAACAGTTCTTCGATGTGTTGTGTCTTGTACAGAGCTTGTATGTTGCCTGCCTCCCATATAATCAGGTGTGTAATCAAGTGTTATAAAAGCACCACGGAAAAATCAACCTACGTACGAAAGACGGCTTCCTTCAGTGGAGTGAGAGAAAAAGAATATACATATTTATACCATACATAAAGAGATTGCGAAGCGAAAGAAATAATAAGATGATCTAATCTAATTAGACAAATAATAGGATAGTTAAAGTACTATTAAAAAGGCAGTTGTTTAAAAAAAAAGAATATAAAGAGAGAAATAATTTAAAACATATGAATCATCTTTGTTACAACAATTCTAATCTTTCAACTTATTCAATTTAATTTACATTTTTAATTTAAATTTTAATTATGTAGTTTAATTATATAGTTTTAAATCTATATTTCTTCTCTCAATGTTTATTATATCATGGATTATCGCGAAATATTAACATTGAAGATAAATATCGACAAATTTGATACTAGGTTGATTTTTCGAAGGCATAAAACCGGTGCTGACGAATCTCAATGATGCCCGATTTATATTTTGCATGCTGCGCTCATGGAATTAACCATCAGATACGGAAAACATCAAGCTTGTGTTCTGCGCTGTTAAGGATACGATCATGCAAACCGCGCTTAAGGAGTTTAATCTTGCTTAACGTGACTGTGTAGATATTATTAAGCATACTGCAGATTCTTGACGATATTATTTGATACAATTTTGAATACCGAGAATGACGTAGACTTGTATCATAAATTACACAGACAGAGCTGACTTACAATTAATATAATAATTTAACCGACGAGTGCTATAGAAGTAGCCAAATAGTATAACGATTATTTAACAAATATAGAAGAGAAGAAGAAGCAAACTATTATAAATTACTTGTTAAATACATTATATTTAAAATTATTTTTTAAAATTTATTGTACAGCCTAGGTCTGTGTCATTCGCGGCGATTCGTCATCGACTACGAATACAACGATTTTACTTTCGAAACTTTCGAAAACAACTGCCAGCTTTACCGTTGACAACAACACGTTACAATATATGTTAAGTAAAAATATATAAACAAAATCCCTTGTAACCCCTGAATAAAAGGAATATAGCAATCGATGTCCGCTCTAATAATTGCTAAAATTAATCTATTTCTTGCAACATTGCGTTGCTAATATGCCCTTGTAACAAACAGGCTCCTTGCGATATTTTTATTGTCTATTATATTATCGTAGAGTCTGGCAAGAATAGAATATTCCCTTATTTGTAATTAAGGTTCGATTCGTTTACAAACGTTGCTACTTATATTAAGTTAACGATACTTTTATGATGATGGTACAATTCAAACATTGAAATTTATTCGAATTTAACGAAATAGTCTCAAATATTATGATTTATTTGAATTTAATGAAATGGCCTCTAATTCTTTAGTATCTATACATATTTGTCTGAATACTTTAAGTAAAATATTTCTCGCTTTAAAATGTGCGTTATTCTAATATTTTAAATATTAACAAACTGCTACAATCTTTTAAATTGTTTTTGCATTACTAATCTTTAGCTACTTAAGTTGGTAAGCTTCTTTGAAATAAGCATCTAAAATGAAATTATATTTTATAATTTCTCTCATATTGCTACTAAAAAGTATCTCGAAGGGAATTGCATGCTGCATGTATGTCATGACTGTCCAGAGTTTCAGCTTCTTGTTTAGGGTAAGTCGATCTTTGTTTAGCGCTACTTTTATGTTAATCTTTCATAACAAATTTCTAATGATATTCTAAAATTATTAAGGATTGATAATTTGTGCTGTACAACGTTTACTAACTAGCATAGTGTGATATGACATACTTGCAAACTAATTATTTATGTTATATGCCTTGTTAGATTTTAATATCAATTTTTAAAGAATACTCAATATCAGAAATCTCGAAAGCTTTACATGCCTTAATGACAAGTCACATCTCATTCAAGAAGAAAGAAAAATCATTCACAGCATGTATCGAACAGTGTTTCGTGCAATCAATTAAACAGTTTTTCTCTTTAACAAGTCTTAGGGATATATTCTGGTTTTTGAACGCGTGCCTTTTCTGATTCATAGATACGGAGAACATCAGATTCGTGTTCGCGGCGGTAAAGGACACCATTCTGCAGTCCAATCTAAAGGAGTACAATCTGGTTTAGATGGCGAAACGCGCTGCAAATCCGAGCGGATTCGACCAGTTTATCTCACACCCTGACCAATGTATCAGTGTGAGACTACTATTTCGTTGATTCGCGAGCGCGATCCGTGGACGATGAAGAGGCGCGAGACGAAAACGACACAAACTCGTGGTGCCATCGTATACGCATGTATACGCACGCATACACCGACATGTGCGTAGAGCTTCGTCACATCGAGAGTGTGTTGCACCAGCGAGTATCTAAAACACACATAATTGTGAGGGACGTAAAAACGGAGCGGAATAAGGAGAGTGAACAAGGACCTAAAAAGAAAAGCGTCACGAGCGTTGCACATTCTTTTTCTTAGCGAGAAGAAAAAGGGATATGAGAAAAGAGCGATATCTTATAATTGTCGATACCAACTCGCGCGAGTCGATTCGGTTCTCTCATACTCCAGTTCCCGTTTCGGGATTTGTTACCTTTCTTTTGTAGATTAGTTCTTAGTCGATATCGCAGGCGAATGCGCCCTACCCCCGGGCCGAGGATGCGTCGACACCTTGGGGGTCCCGAACATCGTTGTCTGACTTTTATATATACATATATATAT